CGTTCAGAAAAAACATTTCGTCGTGAATCAGCGTTTCCCCGCCGAAAACTGAAAATTTCCTGCGGAAAAATTGAAACTCCCGACGAAAAAATATTTTCCTGCAGGAACTGGCGGAATCACGCTCATTTTTTTCCACTGGGTAGTACAAAAACCTCGCTCATTCGTTGTTCAAACCAACATGCTGTACCACAATTTGCATCAGTTCTCGCTGATTTTTCCCTCTGCCCATCTACTTTTATCTTTGGTGCTGTTACAATTGGTTTTGGTATTGATTATGTCTTGTCAATTGAACGTGCTGATTATCGTGGTAATACGTTTGAACTAGGATTTGCTGCTAGAGCAGTAACTATTGGCTGTCTATTTTCCCTTACATGGAACAATTACTTGTTCATGAAATAAAACCTGATGCATTTGATTTTGATACATTTTCAAATACTCGAAGTTTTGTTAGAAATACCTTTGGAAGCTTTTATAAAAGTGCATTTGGCAGAGCAAACATTTTTCTGCAGGATGAGACATTCCGCAGCTAAGAGCGAATCTTGATAACCGATGTATACAATTTTCTGGCATGCCCCAACAGCTGTTATAAACGAGTGCATCCCTAAAAAGATCAGATGTATATTCAGAACATGTGACTATCAGAAAAAAATTATTAAGAACGGTCTTTTCCATCTTGAAGAAAATCCTTTAGCAAACGAAATGAAGTTTTTTCGTTTAATTTCTACATTCCTCTCGTTGTTGATCTCTATGTTCACTAACAATTGCGGCGTTTGGAAATATAATTCTAATTTCATTACTGTTAATATTATTAATCAAACCGTTTTGATTACGCTGAAACATCGTTAACTGAGTTATGTTTTGACATATTAATTCCCGTAATTCGTGATCATCACGCAATTGCTCTTTTATGTTTAATAGCAACTCTTGTTTTATGTGTAATTTTCGAACATTCGGTGTCAGTAATAATAAACGTTTTATATAACGATATTCGCCATTATCAAATCCTAATTGTAGCATTGTGATTGTACTTAATGTAACACTTGTGTCATTCATCATATCATCATCGAAACGGCAAGGACCATACAACAGTAAACCATAAGCATTCTTAGAAACGATTGTCTTAAGAAAGTGACATAACTTTAATGTAGAGGGCTCTGTTGCATTATATAAAACTAAATATTTAACATTTGGCACCATTAGGTTACATTGGATATTTGATTGATACTCCGAAATACCGTTTGATACCATCATATAGTCGTATATAAACGGTAATGATGCTAATGTATGAAGATTTGCATTAGAATTATGATAATACATCATTGGATGCTGAAGCCAATATTTACTTTGAAATGTTGACATAATATTAGGAGAAACATAACTATGATAGCAATGAATATGAAAGTTGAACTGTTTTAATTTTGATAATTTTGACAGTAAACCGTATTCTAAACGTCGACCATCAATTAAGTGATTAATTCTGATATTAATAGATAAATATTCAAGTTTAAACTGTTTAGATAATAAATATTCCAAATGATCATATTGAATACGTTTTACTGATGAATCAAGAATAAATTGTTTTAAATTTAACGGTAGCAATTTTCCATTAATATAATCGTATGAATCAGTTGATTTAATACCTTTTGTAATCTGAATATTTAAATAGACCAATGATGGAAAATTTTCCATTAACATAAATAAATGGTGTTGATATTGTATTTTAATTGTTAAATATTTGATTGATTGACACATTTGTATACTATTAGATGAGTCAAGGGATAATACACAATTTGTGATGAATAATTTTTCCAATGAGCACTTATTGAATAATACATGTTGATCAATTTCAGGTGTTTCGCATTGAAAAAGAAAATTCAGTGTTAATGAGTACAATGTTTTAAATGATTCTATATGCACTGAATATTTTCCATTAACATGCGGTATATTATTTAATATTATTGAACGAAGATTTGGATACGATGTTATCGTTGTTGGAAAGACTTTATTAAGCTGATTATCATTTAGTTTGATAGATTGCATTGTTGATTGTACGTAATGTAGAATATCATGAAAATCAGATTTTGATAAGGATACATCAACTTTTCGACAAATCTGATAATGAACAAGTTTTGTAAAACGTTTGTTCAAGTTCATGAATGATACCAGAATATCATTTGATTTGAGATACATGAATACAAATTCGTACAATTCACTGGGTAAGTGTTCGAATGCTAACATATTTTACAAAAAAGTGTACAAAAATTTTCTTGACTAACACTATCACATAGACCATATTTATTCATATATTTATATATATATGTATTGAGAGAGAGAGATAGAACAAATATAGCGTATATATGTTAGCGCTCAACGTAAAATTCATACCAATGTAATATTGGCCTAGGCCAAAGTGAAATTCCACTTTGCACTAGTCCAAAGTCTAATTTCACTTTCGCCTAGAGTTGCTTAAGGACAAAGTGAAACTTCAGTATGAACTAGTTCAAAGTAAAATGTAATAAAAAGTATCAGTTCAATGTTGGAAATACCAGGTCAATCTAATATTGGACTAGTCGAGTCGAGAGTACAATTTAGAATTAATCAGATCAATATGATATTGGCCTAGGCAAGTGTCAAATCAAGATAATAATTCATGCATAATCGAAAGAATTGATCATTTGTTCTGGAAGATTACTTGTAATGAAACAACATTCTGTTTTAGATGAACACATTTGAAAAGATACAGATTCTGTGAAACGAAAAGAAGAGTTTTGAAAACGCGAAAGCCACAAAGCGTCTATAAACCTTCATTTCAGATCAATTGCAAAAGTCAGGATCTACTTCAATCTCTGCGCTGTCTGCATCGAATACAGGTCATTGCAAAGGAAGTTGATTTGACCAAACAGACTTTTGTTTCTCACTAGTTTCAAAAGTCAGAATCTACGGTATACTGGTAGAAGAAGAGAGAGTTTAAAGCTCTTTTTCCATCTGCAACAGAATGAAAATAGGCAAAGTGTATTTTGAACGCCGAATTAATTTAGAAAATAGAACATGTTCTATTAATAGAACGTAAGTCAGTCGGTAATTCAAAGATTAAAAAGCTTTAATTCAAAGAGGTCTAAAAATCTTACTGATAACACATATTTTTTAAAAAATCTTTCACTTAATCTGCTGTACAAAAGTAGTTTCTCGTACTATATTTTATCGTATTGTTATTACTTGCTATATCAATCTGTTTTCGATAGTGGTTTGTGTAAAAAAAGTTTATAACCCACACAAAAAGATCATAAAAATATAAAAGGCTCAAAAAGAATTTTAGAGACTACTATCCGTTCATAACACTGGCATTTTTTGAATAGCTTTTTAATGGAAAGTGCTAGAACTATGCGGTTTTCAGCATTCGATAGAAGAGACGATGGGAAGTAACACTGTGGAAAAATCAGATCTCTGAACCAGACCTACTATGATTTATCCTGCTGTACGATGTCTGAATGCTCTCCATTTCCACGCAAAAAATGGAATTTTAATGTTGAAATATTGATTTTATGCTCTGAAGTGTGCTCTTCAAAGCTGCGCAAGTTCCGTCTTTCTGTCTCTTTTGGTTCGGCAGTTACAGGCATTTTCTGAGAACCCACATATCGGCTAAACTTCATGTTTGGGAGCTTTCAAAACACGTGGAGCATTGGTTATCGCCCCTCCTAGCTCTCGCGGTAATGTTGGTTTGTCGGAAAAAGTTCAAGATCCTCGTGAAAATCGGTATTAGGTAAAGTAGTCCATTTTGCCTATTTTCACGAAAAAATTAGAAAATTCATAACTCATTCGATCCAAATTATGTCAGAATACCAAGGCATACTCTGTTATATCTACACGAGATCATGCAATTCACCTGATCCTGACTTTTTGAATTGGTCTGAAATGAAGGTTTTATAGACGCTTTGTGGTTTTCGCGTTTTCAAAACTCTTCTTTTCGATTCACAGAATCTGTATCTTTTCGAATGTGTTCATCTAAAACAGAATATTGTTTCATTACAAGCAATCTTCCAGAACAAATGATCAATTCTTTCGATTTTGCATGAATTATTATCTTGATTTGACACTAGCCTAGGCCAATATCACATTGATCTGATTAATTCTAAATTGTACTCTCGACTAGTCCAATCTTAGATTGACCTGGTATTTCCAACATTGAACTGATACTTTTTATTACATTTTACTTTGAACTAGTTCATACTGAAATTTCACTTTGCCCTTAAGCAACTCTAGGCGAAAGTGAAATTAGACTTCGGCCTAGGCCAATATTACATTGGTCTGAATTTCACTTTGAACGCTAACATAGACATATGTGTATATATCAATTGATTTGAGGGTGAATTTTGTGTAAAAGGAAGCAGAAGTTTACTGGACGGAATAAATAAGAGAAAATATTATCTATCTCAATAAATGAGCAAATTGTTAGGCAACCTTCTCAAAGTATGAATACAGTCTGTTTGAAAATGTCAACAAGATCATACAGTATTCAGTCCGTTTCTTTTTGGCGTTTTTTTCTAGTCAATGTAACTGAGATGCCTAATGAGAGAGACTCTATAAATGCATGTTTACATTGATCTACCGTGATCGTAAATATTCAGAGACGATGATGCCCTCACGAATTCAGTTCTTCATTCGATCTACTAGCATATTTTTATCCTAAAGCTTGTTGATCCTCAAATGGAACGCTTTATCTCTTTTTTTTCTTCCATTACATGAGAAAGGAGTGAACCATGCTTATAGTTTTTCATTAGTAAGTAGTTTCCGTTGAAAAGTTGGACGAAATCAAAATGAGTAAAGAAAACTCAAAAGTAGTGTATTCCGCAAAAAAGCTCTTACGAGGGAACCGCCTGAGGTGCTAAAAATCTTTTTGAGTGGGACTATTTTTAAAATGTAGATCCTCATGGACTATGAAGAATCCCAACTTGGTTCGTGCGCAATCAGCTTTGTTGCTGAGATA